GGGGGGGGGGGGGGGGGGGGGGGGGGGGGGGGTGGGGGGTGGGGGGGTGTGTCCGATATGTCTGGATGACGAGACTTTAAAAACACTGGAGGAGGTTTCTTGCTTCGTTGCAGTCCCGCCTGTGTGCAGGGGAACTTCCCGTGCGTCAGTTTGCCTCGTCCTTTGACGCTTCATCAAAGTTCTCCACCAGATCTGCAGAACAAGAACACATTGTGCATTATTACATTTGAAGAACAAAATCACATCAAATGCACTCAGATGAAATAATATATTCAAGGATTGCAGTAGGCAATATACCACCTATACAACGTGGATCTTCTTTATTTGAATAAATAACAGACTCAGCATTATGAGAATTTGTTGAAATGTGTGTCCATACCTGGAACATCATCGTCCTCTTCCTCAATGTCTTCTACCTTTGGAGCCTTGCTGTCGAGAGCTGAGACAAAATGTACAAATAAAAAAAACAAAGACATTATAGCTTTGGCTGTTAAACTATTGTAACCAGGTTGTAATATTTTCTTAAAGAAAGAATATTTTCCGTGTGACACAGACTGGTTTAACCTATTCCTCTGTGACGTTGTCAGTGAGTCACTTTTACTCTGGGTGACATGTTGCTTCATTACCATGAACATTGGACTTGTAGTTTTTATTTTCAGTTGATCCCACATAAACCATCCTGCTGCTGCGAATACTCACTAGAGCATCAAATGTATATTAATCCACCGCTGAAAATAGTCCCCAACAAATACAATACTGACTCCAGTTTGAGTCAAATTTGCTTAAAAACTACAGTGCCCTGCTGTTTTAAGACAGTATTTTGCCCTTTTAAAAATGAAACTATATAAATGCGACCTGTTTTTAAACATTGACTTTGTCTTCAGTAGGAACGAATGAGCTTGTAGCTGAAAAAACAACTTAATGGAAAAGCTTATGGAGGAGCAAATGAGCAACGGAGGAGGGATTCCATGATATCTGAGCCAACAGGTGCCACAATAACTAATAGTTGGTCACTGACTGCTTTCGTGTTCAAACCAGTCCCACACCTCCTCCTATCCTCTCCATGAGAAAAAGTTAATCTTGACATTATATATTTGTATATTTAAATGGCTTCAGACCATCATTTTCCATCACATGGTATCAAGCAAGTTGCACTTTATATTGAAGCTGCAAAGGGGATGACACATATGTAAACACACACCAATCATCCTAAACCACAAAGGAGGTGTTGCAAGAAGTTTTCCCCGGAGTGAAGTTGTAATCTGTGTTGTCGGCTTCAGATGCCTCACGTCCCACAGGAAGCGACTAATCTTAACTAAACCACCCTAAGTCATCCTCCTCTTTTACAGTGACTTTAAGAGGTCAGAGGTCGAGGCACACCCACCTTGCCGAGGGAACTGTTCCGCCAGTTTGCGCAGGCTGCTGAGGCTGTCTGCTCCCAGCTGACTGAGGATGCCGGGAAGCATCTCTGTCAGCTGCTTGGTCTCAGCGTGGCCCGTGATGGCGAAGGTGTTGGCGGACAGAGAGGCCTGAACTTTGGGGTTGTTGAAGTGGATCACAGTGCCGTCATCCTTGATCATGTTCACCTGAGAGGACAAAGACCATTCAGTTTTTTTTAAATTACGGCCGAATGCTCCGGTGCAATGATCTCGGGAGTTGCTCTATGCCGAGTGTAAGCATGCAAATTACAGAGCAGTCTGGTCTACACGGTAAGAATGCATCACATTAAAGTAAGATCATGTTCAGGGTTTCCTTTTTCAGAAGATCCACACAAATTTACCTCCTCAATTCCAGCAATATTGTTGACAGCCAACTTCTTAAGTGAACTCTGAAGCTTCTTGTCATCAGCTGTTGCAGTTCTGTGGACCACCTTCTTCTTCCTGCGTGCAGATCCCTAAAACCAAAGCAGACATAAGAGTCCTAAATCACAGCCACTTGAAGCGAGCGCTGACTTAGAAGAGTGAGAACATTAGAAGGAAAAGGCTAGAGGGGCAACACAGCCTTGGTTGTTGAATTATAGTATTTTATACAAAACTCTCCATTCAATACACATATGAACCAAACAAGGCGCAATGCGATTCTGTTCAAAATCTGTTGGAATTCATTGCATAAACATAATACAAACGGTGATAATTAAGATCCCTTTGATATTTTTAAATGGTCTCTGGTGGACAAACTTTGTGATGGTGTCACTGTTTCTTAATTCATTTTTGTATCTCAACTTCCTGTCGTCGGCCTGCATGTGTACCGATAGCAATGAATTGGCAATATGCTAATAATGACTGAAATATCGGTCCGGCAGATTTATTGGTCAAGTTGACGTCTCCTGTTTTGCAAACCTTTATCTTTTGTTAACTCCACCAGATGTTTTCTTTTCTTGTCAAATATCATATTTTAATTGATACGAGTTATTTATAATCATCTGAAAGACGGATGTAAAGCACATACTCGGACACTAAAACTATTTTTTCTTGAATAAATGTCAGAGAATACTATAAACATGCTCATAACTATTTCCCAGAGCCCAACATGAAGTCTTGACCATCAGTTCAAAACCCAAAGGGATGGATTTACAATATAACATAATAATAAATAATAGCTTCACCTCTACATACTTTGATAGCAACTCAAATATATATATTCAGATATTATCTTTTTGTTTTTAATAATTAGCATTTCAGCTGTAATCATCAAATCAATCCAAAAGTACAGCGCAGACTTTTTGTAAAAGAGGTGTATTATGATCCCACCCAAAAATACCTAATCCAACAATTTTAATAAATGCTAGAAAACACACTGTTCAACAGCAACTAAAGCACAATACATATATAACACTTTTTATTGCAAGATGTCTTGTAGGTTTGGGTTAAGCGTAATTTATTGAACTTGTTGTAAGTGACCCAACATTACACCTTTCCAATCAAAACAATAAACCACTTCCTGGTTGTCAACTCACCTTTCCCCCTATCCGGACCTGGGCTTGAAGTTTTGCCAGTTTTTCTTGATTCATGTTCTCACCTGCGTAATAAAACAAGTTGAAGATTAATGTTGAAAACAAACACATGTGATGTGTAAGCAGCTAAACAACTAGCATGCTGCTGCTTTCCCTGTCGACTGTGAGCTGCTGCAACAACAACATGAGCTAATCAGACAGAAGTCCAGTTCCTAGAGAACAAATATGTTTAGTCAACAAGTTAAACTAACAAAAAACAGAAGTTAAAGAGACGTGAAAATGATACCACGCTGGTGCAGTAATAACTCAGACTAGCTCCAAGTTGTCAGTCTGCTCTGTGTGTGTGTGTGTGTGTGTGTGTGTCTATGTGTGTGTGTGCGTGTGTGTGTGTGTGTTTGGTTAGCAGCTGCAGACATGACAACACAACACAGGGCCTACAGACGGAACACAGCGTGTCACGGCTCGAATCAGTCCGACAGCTCCGGTCCGACCACACACCAACAACCACGCGCACCACGAGCGCCGCACGGTACACGCAAAGCAACACGGATCATCCCAAACCTGGTCAAATATCCACACAGGCATGCGGTGGCGAAAGATGGAGGTTATGAGGAAGAGATTACGTCACACACCATACGGATTTTTCTTCTTCCTCTTCCTCTTCTGTGTTTCCGACCAGTTGGAAGGATTTGAGCGCCGTGCTGCCACCTACAGGACAGTGTATGTATTACACCAACAAACGCTTCTGCCCATCCGTCGAGCGTGAGACATTCACCCACTGTAGGCTTGAAAGGTGTCTGAAAACGTCAAAAGTTTGCCTTTTCACAAACCATTAAGACAATTAATAATGAAAAGCTTATAAAATAATTGTAAATTGATGAATTCAATTTGCATTCATTTTATGCTTTTCAAAACTCAGAGTAAACTAAATAAGTAAAATAGTAAAAAGATATAATTCAATTTGTCATGTCGTATTTTTCTGTTTTGATGAAAATGATGTAATATGAAGTGGATTTTAATGTGGAATCCTAATGTTATTATTTTCATTATTATTTTTTACCATTTGTTTATGTGTCTGCCTATTATAATCCACCTCATGATATATTTGTTCTCTGCTCTACTATAATATTCAGTTTCCATTGTGTGATCGTTTTACTGTAATTACTATAATGAATGGCTCTTAAAGATGTGTGAATAGTGTGCCACCTACAAATCAAATTACACTAAACCCCCGGAGCAACAGAACTGTAATTAGCAAGAACTCTGTCAACACATAACAGCTGGCAAATTAATTAATCAGTTCATATGTCCTTCTCATGACTGATACGTTATAATTAATATAATTGATTGGCATTTAATAGTTATAAATTATTATAATTGATCTCTGAAAATGTCTTTAATTATCTTGGTGTCACACTCTGGACTACCTCCTAACACAAATGACCCTGACCATCACCCATCAAAACAAAATGTTCAAGGTTTATCATTTTGCTTCGTTTTACCATTTTCACCTTTATTACACATTTCAGCCCAAAGAAAAATTTTACAAAAATTTCACGAGAGAGAGCGAGAGAGCGATATATGCTACAAACATACAAGTTACCACAAGCGGACCACTGACCGACTGACGGGCCCTGGTCGGATAGATAGATGCTACAATTAATCAAACATTGTATGTCATTCAGTCTTTTTGTAGACTGGATCAAAATAGGTCACAAGTTCAGTTACAGTATTTTGTACATTCTGCTGCAGACATTTGTGTTCTGCATTATACACGTGTTCACGCTGATTCAAGCTGATTAATTAGATGGTAATCATGAATCCATATGTGGCTACTGCCAGTATCAGCAATAACAAAATAAGACAAAGACAATTAAACACTTGTAGTAAAAATCCTTAGAGGTTAAGGGCACAGGCTGGAGCTGCCAAATGGAAATCTCAGCAGCATTAATAACGAAAATGGTCACTTTTCCAAAAAGAAAAAAGTTCAATACAGGAATGACTGAACCAACTTAACTGCAATATTTTCTGCGTATTGTGAACATTTTCAACAGATTTAGTTTAGAGTCATCGATATGTTATCATATCAGAACACGTGACCCGGGCTCAGGTGATGGATTTAATCGCAGTGTCTGGTAATCTACCGAGGAGGCGGAAGTCAGTCGGACCAAAGCCAGAGTTGCTGGTCTCCATGGAGCTGTGGAGCAGGCTGCGCTGCCAGCGTTGTAGGTAGTGAGATTTTGGGCCCCAGAAGTCGTGGAGCAACGTGAACATCTTCCTCAGAACAGCCTTCCTCAGCAGGATGTAGACCCAAGGGTCCAGGATCTGGTTCCACGTGGCCATACGCACCACCATCAGGAGGCTGAAGGACGCAGGCTCGTCTTTGGCTCTGGTGCTCAGCACGATGACACGGATCTGGTGGAGTGGCCATAGAATAATCGAGAATGACAACAAAAAAAAAAAAAAAAAACTTGAATAGCTGCATAATAACTATAGACCAATATACAATTAACTGTATCATTTAATGTAACTCTCTGTTTCTTAATTTAAGAAATATATATTTTATTCCACTAACTGTATGAAAGCATCTCTGTCTATTGCACACGTTTAAATATTTTATAATTGAGATTCAAAGTTACACAAAATAGTCTGTAATACAGTAAATGTTTTCCAACTCATCTTTTCAAAACTGATAGTGTCTATCACAAAGCATCTTCCACAAATGTACAGTGATTCAATACACTGTCATTTGTATTCTGATTGTAAACTAATTCATAAATAGTAACTGAATAAAAACGATTTGAATATTTGCTTTGGTCCGTAATAATAACATGTTTTTAAATAACCCAAAGGAAATTTCAGTGCATTTCTTTGGTCATATTGCCAGATACAGGTACCATTAAACAATGTGTGAGAAATGTTGCTCTGTAACTGTAGTGGAGTGAGTGTGGCATGCTCTGATCTAAGCTTTTCTTGAGTCATCTTCTCATCACACAACACAGATAATAAAGGTTTCCGTCTCATTTAAAAACCCATTTCACTGCCTCTGACAGTCACTTTGTACTTACCAATGTTCAAAATCCATGACAGACACACACTGGCTAAGATGCGGTTTTAAGATCAGAAACGTGATGGTATGTGAGAATGTAAATCCAATAATAGATGAATTGTTATCAATCCAAATAATAGTCCGGATTAACAAAGAGTTTCAACTCATTTTCATGACTTCAGGCATTAGGGAATGTGCGACCTGCCCACTCTTACCAGTAATGGGCCCCAGCACACGCAGGACACCAACATGATACCCAGCAACTGACAGATCATCTCTATGTGGTAGGACGTGCCTCGACAGTGATGCTTACGGCGCAGTCTGGCCCGCAGTAGAGCACAGCTTGTCATTGCATTGCACACAATGGAGAGCAGCAGGGCCATCAACCCCAGCATAGAGAAAAGCAGGGGGAGGAGCACATCCAGCCAGTCTTTAGGCTCCTCCATATGGAAGAAGCACCAGCTCTTGGAGCTCTGAACCTTGTAGGGCCTCCACAGCAGCACGGGCAGCACAGCCACCAGGGCAGCGAGCAGCCAGGTGAGTCCCAGCAGCCGTTTCATGTGGTGGGATGCTAACGCTGTGGAGTGGAAGATGGGCCTGGTGACTCCAATGCAGCGCTCCACCGCCATGGCGCTCCCCAGGAACAAGGGGCTCAGGCCAAAGAACACCATGCACGCCCCGAAGACGCTGCACATGATGCGGTGGGGGTCAAACATCTCCCATTTCTTGTGGAAGCCGTAGACAAAGATCACCAGGGAGCCGTTGATGAGGTGACCCAGCAGGTCGGTGACCACCAGGCAGCTGGCAAACAGCAGGAAGGATGCCTTGGACTTGATCCGGATGCGGTTGTAGGATTTGACGAGGATGAAGAGTGCGAGGCTGTTGGAGAAGATGCCCACAGTCATGGAGATGGCGGAGGCGGTGATAGACAGTTCCTTCTGGCTGCAGGTGCTGTTGCTTGGTCTGACCTCTGACCTGCAACCTGTTTCTGAGCTCCCATTGGCTGACATGGTGGACACGAAATCTGAGGGAGAGGATAAATAGTAGATGGGTCATATGATTAATTTTTACCAGCATTTTTTAAATGAATTCAACTTCATGTGCTAAAAATGTCATCATACATTTAGTTTGGTGAGAAATCAATTCAACCAACACATTTCTCTGACATGTAACATGCATCTTCATAGTTTACAGCCCCCATGCACTTTTGGGTGTGACTATGGGGACAGTGAACGTCCTGGAATAAAAATCTGAACATGAAAAATGTCCCACATTCTTATAAGCCAATAACGTTTGTTAATGATCTTGACAGGTTAAAATCTTGCTCAGTTCCTTACCTCAGGTTTGCTCTTCTCTCACGCAACTCGCCTTCACTCTGGGTCTTTTATGATCAGTAAAGCAGAGCGGCGTGTAATCAGCCCGGCTGTAAATGCCATTGAACGGGCAACGGCTCTCCTCAATATTCCTGTCGAGGCTGCGATCAGCGCAACTTGTTCTGTCTCCACTCAGTGGAGGCGGACGAGCTTCATTCTGCGAAGTGTCACTTCAAACTCAAACCCACCGTGGTGGCTGAACACATCTGTCGCATCCAGCAACCCCCCCCCCCAGCTTAAGTGTACTCTTTTGTTTTATCTCGACACTGGACATGAAAATGAAAATAAACTGTTGGCAAAATACGCACCCATTCATTCTTATAATTGCGCATGATTGCTCGAAATTGTGCTTCTATGAAATGTATCCAAAAGTCTCTATTTTCATGAGTCCTGCAATTTTCTGTATTTTTAAATTGAGCTAAATAATATCTATTTTTTGGAGGCTTTCCATGAGTTCACATCAAAATCCTTTCTCTGTTTTACTTCACCGTCTGCGGGTTGTCGGATCGCCCTGCTGCTTGCGTTTGAATAGCAGCAATATGTTGCCAATAACACTTCCTCCAAGTGCAGGCTGTGTCTGCGACTGCATGAGTCCACCTGCTGGTTACTGACGTCTTCTGTGCTTTGTTGATTAAAAAAAGATTGAGATGTGTTTTTTGCCCTAAATGATAAATCCTGTATACGTAAAACAAGACATGAGTTATCACTTGGCTTATATTTCAATCTAACGTTTTATTTATTTATTTCCAGTCGTGTTGTATGTCACATGTCACCTCCTGGATAATTCATTTTGCATCAATCTTTTAAAATAGGAAACAGTTGGGAACATTTGATATGAGAAAAACATCTGAGCCAGCCTTTACCAGTGGGAGAACAACATGTCTTGGCTTGGACTTGTAGTGGGGAACGCTCCTCAGAGAAGGAAGTGTGTTGTGAACGCAGCCCTCAGGCTAGGCTCCTCCCCCCCCAATTAGTGCCAGCATTTATAAGGCACATGTGGTCCTGGCCTTATTGTTTTTTGGCCCCTGTTCTGGTGGTGAGTTTCACACATATTCCGCCTCTTGTTGCCGTCTGACTACTTACCCCTTGTTTCAGGTGGAAAGTATTCACAATCTATATATTTTGCAGCATGGTGTGCCCTTTTACTCTTCGTTTGTCATTTGTAGGTTCACTTGCTGCTGTTTTGCTGCCTCCATTTTGCCTGTTTTGTCTGCTTGTTTTGCCTCTATTTTACTTGTTTTCCTTTTGTTCTGCATGTTTTGGTAGTTTTTATGATTTTCATTGAATCCTTTTAATAAATATGTTAATTTTACGAAACGCGTCTGTCCAAATATCAGTAATGAATCTGTGTGCCCTTAATAAATTCTAAACAATATTAAGGTCGTTAAGTTTATATTTCCCGGGGTGTAACTCCCCAGGTGGCATTGTTGGTTCCCTTTAAACTATTATGGCTTTCTTCTCTAGGTGGCACGAGTAAGAAAGCAGACATGGACACAAACTGACTTGAAGCAGCTGAACAAAATAAGATCGAAGACTCATAAATGGAAAGAAAAGGGTCTGGTGGCAAAACAAAAGACCCTCTAAGCTTATTGCAGCTCTTCGCATGCATCTGACCCAGCAGAGAGACAATTGTCGACTTTCCCGAGAGCTGGCAATTTAAGATGCATTAGTACACATGTGAATTTGATATGTACCTGTCAATGATTGGCACACATGGCACTAAAGAGTACCCAGATTTAGTATTGCACTCCTGTAACATTCAGACTCTTGATGGTGTAAGGTTTTTGCAGAAAATGAAAGGGCTGGACCCAAATGCAGGGAGACGAGGGAAACGGAGGGTAGGATAAATGTGGATTTTAATGGGAACAAAAGTATTCAACACAAAAACTTGTGAATCAAAAGTGCATGAAAATAAAACATCCAAAAAACAGGGAACACAGCAGAGGGGAGCAGACACAAAACGTACTGGGGAGAGGAACAGACAGACTATACACCAAAGCCGAACGAACACTGAGCCAAGGGACACACAGGGTTTAAATACACAGGGGAGGCGCAGGCGATTAGACACAGCAGGTTTCAATTAAGGGCGGGGCAGACAGGTGATTGAACGCATCAGTGTATAATTAGGGGAAGGGCAGACCATCACAGGGGTAAGACAGACAAAGGCAGGAAATAAAGTGCAAGAGGGAACCTCTAAATAAAACATAAATCGTGACAGTTTATCAAAAAATGATTTTTTTTTTTTTTTTTAACGAAGACCAGTGAAGCCACAATTACAATAGTCTAGCCCTCTGAAGATTAACAAATGAACAAGTTTTTCTTGATCTTGTTTGGACAGAAATTTGTAAATTCTTGCTGTTTTTACTCAACACCTGTGCCATGAATACATCTTGGAAAAAGGTTTTGGTGATTTAAATACATTTTTAATCTTGTATCTTGAACCTAATTGCCTCCACAATTTTGTGTCATTTGTGTCAAATTCTGTATTTATACATACAGTCTAAACTATATGACCCCTGCAGGAGATGGTCCAGCAGCTTCACATCTTCCATGTAAGAAAACATTTTTTTAATACAATTTCAACAGCTACTGAAAGAGTTCAGGAAGACTCTTTTTCATTCACAATTAATTGATTGATTTTTAAGTTGATTTGTTAAAACCTCCTAAGCTTTGTCATGTGCCCAAATTGTCCCTAATTATCCAACAAGGTGACTCTTGATGAAATCTTCTCCCAGGTGACATTACACCTCTAAGTGTGGTGTCATACAGTGTCTGCTGTAATGACAGGCAGCAGAGTGCTTGGTCACAAGGCAGGGAAAGCACAGGCATGGGAGCGCAATCACATTCATTTGTTGGTTGCATCAAATGGGGCTGTTGTAATTGACTGCCTGCCTCAGTGGGGTTCAGATGGAGCCGGGAGTAGATTGAGCGAGATGGGAAAATAACCCGTAATGCAGGCTTTTTGCCAGCGGCACCATCGCTTCCTCCTTCGCGTCTTATCACAAAAACACCCCTGTGCCAAGATTCACAGGTAACAAACGTACTCTTCCTCTGCTCTCGCTCTTCTTGTACTTCCCATTATTTCTTTTTTTCTGTCTATCACCCTGACCAAACGATTTCCTCCATTTTGGAAATCGTTAATGGAGCACAGTTAGTGCCATATATGTCAGGTAGTTGCAAAATGTGTCAAAGGTGGTCATCAAGAAGGGACAAACGGTCAGTCCAGAGAAAAATAACACCCTCAGCAGTTTGAACACAGGTTGGGTTTGCTTCTTTGTGCTACCCTCTCACCCTTAGCTAATATCTCACATGTCCCTCGTGTTCAGACACAAATTTGATCCGAAAAGGTCAGGAAACTTCGTAGCAAATGAATTATTCCACAGTAACAGTCTACTGGCCTCCCAGATGACAATCTCGCATATCATCAAAACAAGACTTCAATTAAACTAGAGACAACAGGGTTTCTTATGTGTGTATAATTACTGTGTTGTCCCGTAGAGACTGAACTTGAATCGGACCTTCATGAAGACATGAAGCTCTGGTAGAGAGCAGCAAAACCCAGATAGGTGGTGACATCAATTATGTTGTGTTTGAGGCAGGTAGGGATTTGTGGTTGGAGGTTTAATGAAGGGATCAGTGTACATCTCATAACTGCTGTTATTGTACAGTTTTACATCTTACAGTAAGTAACTTGCTTGTTGACTCTGGTCTATTAGAAGCTGCACATTCTGTTGTCTCAACTGCTAAACCTTCAACATCAAGTCAGAATTATCCCGTCAATCATCCTTTTGTTTATTACCCTGTTGTTTCTACAAATTTGTATTTCAGAACGACTAGACATCTGCGTTAACGGAAGACTAAAAGAGTCTACAGTCATGCTAGCAGCTCTGTGAACCTTTATACAGTAGGCACAGCATTTTCGGCGTAATCATGAATCTTCTCTGCATTTCTTGGCAGGACCGGCCCTGCGTGGCCGGTTGAGGCGGAGACAAAATGTGTTAAATGGCAGGAAACCATAGCTATGACAGCTGGCAGAAGGTCAACCAATCAGCCTGGTGAGTTGTTATATTTTACTATCATATCAACACTGAGATTTGTACAGCACTGTTGACAGACCTGTGTATTTTCACCTTGTTCTGTCTCTGTCTTTTGCACAGCAGTGAACTGTGTCAATGCCTTCACCTGTGACTGTTTATGGAGTGAAATTAGTCTCAAAATAGTCATAAATGTGTGTTACACGAACCACCAATGAAAATTTAGATTTGCAAATGTGTACAGTGATTTCTGCACAATTTTCGGTAACCACAAATGCATTTTCCAATCTACACCCAAATACCAAGCAATTTGAACAGTTAAACTAATGTGCACATCACAACCTGAAATTCCTTTTTATATTTTATATACAGAGGGCAAGAAGAAGTGCAAGGATCATCTTGAGGCTAAAATCTCCCCAGGTCTCAGCAGTAATTTAGGATTAACCGTCCCTAAACATTACAAAAAGTTTGTTAAAAAACATCATAGTTACTGTAAAGCAGGCAGTTCTTTAATTAAATCAGTACAATGTGGCCAGAAATATGCTGACAGCTCATGGTCAGTGTTGGCTAAAGTGCATGTGAGCCTGGTGACACACAGTTTTTACTGCACAATGAACAGAGCAGGTATGAAGTCTCAAACTAAGCCACTAATGCTCATTTTGTTTAAAGCTCCAAGTTTTTATTTTCACTTGTTTTAGCCACAAATTGACATGAAAGGCCTCAGAAAACCTCAGAGTCCCAGAGCATCTCTCTGCACGTTGGAACCAAGCAGAGCATTTCCTGCTTCCACACACTTTGTCACGCATGCTGCAAGAAAAAACAAAACACAAAATAAGTCATCAGCAGACTGAATGTAGTCAAACAGCTGGTTGTAACCAGCACACCTAGTTTACTAAAAAGATTCAAACGTAGTATAATGTTTATTACCATTCTGAGCACGGAGCCATGACACAGCCTTCATAGCGAGAAGCTGCCATTCTTCCTGAGCATCCATCTCAAAGCCATGAAGCCAGATTACAGCCAGAATGGTGCCCCACACTTCCTTGTTGACCTAATTCACCAAATCAAAGAACAGAAAATGGAACGGGGCCGAGAGGGAAAACAAAATCAAAGAGAACAAAGAAGAGATGGCACAAAGGGAACATCTTATTTCCTAACAACGTAATCACAAGACAAATAAGTCCCATTATTAATTTACATTATTATGTTTGACAATAACCCACCGATGCAGGCTTGGCGTTTTCCACCTCCCCGCTGGTCTTTCCCAGTGCAGCAGCCAGAGCTGAATCCAGCACCCAGCAGCCAGATCCCTTCTGGAGGGAGACCAAATGCTGAAAAGGGGCTTTGGGTGGCTGTTTGTGCAAGGAGCATCCTGAGGAGAAAAACAAAGCGCAGAGGTAAGATCATCTTCTTGGATCAGTGTACTAAATCTCCTGCCATTCTATTCATCAGTTGTTCCTTACCATCCAGCAGGCTACTTGGAGAGACATCCAACCCTGAATTGACACTTCCACTGGCTTTAAGAGAAAAGGAGAAGGAGAACATTATACAACAGCAACAACAGTTAACATTGTAACACAGATAACGTTTCACTGTATAAACCACTGCACCATAAACTAGGACAGAGTTTGATACAAATACAACTCAACATATACAAATTCATGTTATTGTATGTTTAAAAATATAATAATTACTTATTAAATGATGAATAATAAGAGTGATGAATATGTTAACACAGCAACTTGCAGTACATTGTGACACTAATGGGGCTGTAACGGGGAATAATCATAAAAATTAGCCCACATATTTAAAGCTTAAATGACTCAAGCGAGCTGCATTTCCGGACTTCAATTTAAAACTAATCACAGCCCATAATCAAAAGGTCCAACTGCAGGTACAGCCACTGTGTGATCTCACATATTGTCTAAATTAATACTCATTCCACCAGTCTTTGTAGGACATCTATCCCCAGCTTTAACTCAGAAAATCTAAACCATCTTAGTAAATATAAACGATTATATAAGAGAATTCTATTTACTTTTTGAGCTAATTTCTCGTGTTCAACATCCTGCTCATGCGCTTGATGACTGTTTTTACAATATTCAAACTCAATCACAAACAACACTAACACAAATCTAATGTGGTGCTTTAGAAACATGATCAGTGGCCAAAAGAAGGCGGGCATCTCTTTGTGGCACATAAAAAATAAAAATACCTAAAGAAATATTTTACAACAAAAGTAAAGCCTGTTAAAGTGATATCAGTATGATGTGTTATTGTAAACTAGTTTGAACACTGTAATATCTGCCCTGACATGCTATAAATAATGAAACTGGGCCGCTGTCTGCACACGTCTACTTACAACCATCGTCAGACTTGTACTGTGGAGGCTGGTCCATAGACTTCGTCTGTGGTTTCCAAAAGGCATGTAGCTTCTTTATCTGAGCAGAGAAGAACCTCTTCCATCTGCCCTTCGTAGGTTGGCTCGCAGAGAAGAACACATTGCAGCTGTCATCCCTAGGTTGGCTATCCGTACATTCTGAGAGAGCAGATTTAACACAGCTTGATAATACAGAACTCCTTCAACCAAAAACTAATATTATTATTTTAAAAAGTACACACAAGCCACATTGGGCATTTTGATGAAATATTCCTTCATTAGGATGGGACTCTCGCAGTGTTTATGTAGATGTCACTCAATGCAATAGTGTGTCTCTTTTAATGCGGGACAATGACAATTCTGGAAGTTTTTTGATTACAAGGCCACGGAAAAGGCCCTGCTGTTTGAGCGGCGACGAGGGTTCTGGGTAATTCTATGTGTTGTCCACTTCCATTCAGTGTGTGCTTACCTTCTGTCATGTCGACACAGCAAAACATAATTTCACAACAGAACACCTCACCTTTGAGGTCAAGACATGAGACATGAAAATTAGTAAGCAAAAAATATCGAAATTGGTTTCTGAACTTATTACAAACTAACAACAAGCAGTTAATAACGGTACTTAAGATATTCAGGTCTTTTAAACTTTTTACATATAGACAGGCAAATTTGCAAGTGATCAATGATTTCCTCGATGTTAAAGCAAGACATCATCCTATTTCTCTTCCCTATCATTCATGGTCAGCGTTAGTATCTCTTAAGAAGAGGGTCATTTTTGTATTTGAACTTATACTCACCGCATGTTGGAACATTTCTGCGCACCAGAGGTCCTCGAATCACCTCGCCGTTGTCTTTGTTGACGGCAATGAAGGCAGTAAAGGCACTGCTCACTCCTGATTGGACACTGAGCTCCACCACCTCCTTCACTCCTCCATCTTCCTTTCCTCTGCACACTCTCTCCTCCATCTCCAGGGAGCGAATCAGAGTCCGAGCAGCCAACCTGTGGACTGTTAATCTGCAGACAGGAGAGAGATGTTAACACATCTGCACACTGATTTACCATTTAACAATAACCCTTCTAATTACTATTTTCTTTACCTGCTTAGGGTCATAAAGAGGTGGAGCCTAATCTAGAGATGCCATATAGCCTAATCTGGATGTCAGTGAGAGAAAACAAGAGCACCCAGAGGAAACTAACACAGACATATGAAAACTCTAAAGGCCCTAGCTACACCGAAGTCTGTCGGCCAGGTGAGCGGTGGAAACTAGCTCCAGATTTGTATTCTGTCAAGAGCTCTGTTATCCAAGTATTTAGATATTTAAAGATACCATAGCAACTTTGATTACTAGAGAAAATAAGAAAAAAACCTGTACCCTTGGGCCCTATTTTAATCACACACGCTCAACATTAAGTGCAAAGTTGGAGTGGCAGAAAGTGGCAGAAATAAATCATAAATCTGAGGGTGCAGTGATCATTAAATACACTTTCAGCCAATTACAGCGATGCATGACGAAAACAGTTCTACAAATGGAAAGACTTCTCCAGGGAAACTAAACATTTATCGATTGTCGCCTTTCAGTGACTGTGTTGAAACATGAAAAAGCATAAAGTACTTTTAGGATCTTGCTCTGCTGAAGAGATTCTCAGGGTTTCTTTCGTCGCTGTACGTCACAGTTTTATTTATATTTAAGCAACCTTGTTGACTTGAATACAACGGAAACAACCCTATCACCTTGAGAAGTGTTCAAAACCTATTACCTGATATTTTATGTAACTGTAGAAGCATTGTAAAGTATTGCATGTAAATCTACAGCCTATATCGATTAAAAAAAAAAACATAATTCATCAGCATGCATCAGCGCAATAATCTTGTATTAAATAGTAAAATTTTTCTCATTTGTTGCTACAGTCTTATTTTAGCTAAATAATCAATCTAAACTGTAACTTTTTACCCAGTGTCCTCTGCAGGTCTGAGACTGAAATGGAGCTGGTTCTGAAAGGGATGACCTGCCATGCTGTACTTCACCGTCACACAGGCCGCTGCTGCCTCTGAAAACTGAGAAAGCAACATGTTTATTACTGTAATTACTTGCCAGATGGATGGATGGATCAGAGAAAAAAATGACACTGGAGAGGTATTTTACTATGAGATGGTGCTGCTCCTACCTGTCCAGTGAGCTGGGCATAAACCAGTGACCTGTGACCCTGAAAAAGCGTGGTGATCGGTGGAGAGAGTACGGTGACAGAAACTTCCTTTGGCAAATCCCAATTCACTGAGATGTCCACCACAGCTGGTTGCAGAGCAAAAAGCAGCGACTGTATCACCTGGTGGGAAACAGTTAACAGAAAGTTGGAAAAGGCACTACGCTTTTATCGTGCCTGCATGTTTTATTAACATTGACATGACTGTGATGTCTTACTTTGGGTTGCATCCTGTCGTTGCCTGTGATGAACTGAGCGTGACCTCCGCCTTCCTTGGCCAACCCGTTGATAAGAGCAGAGCTTGCCCCTTGCCCGATCCCAAAAGAGAAACACCTACTATACAGCAGTTTTGTTTTTAACACACAGAATTTGAACATGGGTCATATTCTGGCAATTGTAGGGCTGTTTTTTTTTTTGTTGTGTTTCTGTGGTTTCACCTGTGGGAACCTGAATTCTTCTTCACCAGATCTAAAACTCCTTTGGTGTTGAAAACCTCTCCATCGGTAAAGACACAAAGCTAGGGAGCAGAGTGTACATGTCACTCTTATGTTACATGAGGTCACAAACAGAAACATGCAGCATGTGTTGAAAGTAATCCCCATAATTCTCACAGCTGTTTGTATGTTGTTTTTCAGAAGCACAAGTGGTTTTGACAGTAAAGTTTGAAGAACGAAGGTGTGAGTCGAATAAACTGGTGAGTAGAACAGTACCTATTGAGTGGATCAGTTTAGCCATTTTCAATGGATCGTACGGTATATTCTAAGTCTGATCTATTTCCAATCCCTTGTTTGTTCTCAGTTTACAAGCTGTAAGAGCGAGTGAACACTAAATGATCGGCAGAGCACGCATATTTATTAATAAATGATATTGTAATACAGAGCTCAACAAAAACAGCAAACTTTTGGTTAATGGGACCTGCTGAGAGATTTAATTAACTAAAGACGGAATTATTACAGTACTACACGACTGTGGATGACAGCTACTATAAGAATAACTCATTGCTGAATAGATTGGTAAATACTGATTTAGGTTCCAGCTTTAATCCCGTTAAACTTTCAATTTGATGCTGATTCTTTCATTCTTGGAATTAGGCCTGGTAGAGGAGCTCAGTCCAAAGTGATGACATGCAGCAAAGCAAAGTTTAAGATCAAGAAAATACCAAACTATCAGAGCGTTGTAGTTCTGTCACGTAAACAGAGCCCCTAGTGTTGAGAAGTGTGTGTGTGTGTGTGTGTGCGTGTGTGTGTGTGTGTGTGTGTGTGTCTGTCTGTCTTACTTGTCTAGGTTGACTGGGAATGCAGGACTGGCTGTAAATGTGTTGGAGGGCCTCAAGGATGTCTGTTCCTCCCAGATCAGCGCTCATCATTTTAACTGTCTTCAGAGCCTTTTTCATGGTCTTCTCACTGTACTCCACACTCTTACTGCCATCAGAAACACACAAATGGAGGATGTCAGATGGTGGATTGGTTGTGAGAAACTACCAACTTCTACACCGCAATTTAGAATTCACATCCAGTCTCAGACCAACTTTTTTGGGGGTATAACCACAATCTTTCCCACAGACTTACGCATGTGTTCACTGTAGAAATAATCATTTTTTAAAAAGGTTGTAACGGAACATTTAATAAAAACAATGACATTGATCATAATCCATGGTTTTGCAGGATCACCCAATATTAATTATCTATCTGCCGATACAGCTGACATGAATTACACATGTAGAAACGGTGATGTCTGGGAGACAGGACAGACTCACGGGAATATGTGTTCATAGCTGCTCCCAAAACTGTAGATGTTGAAATAGCAGCCCATTGGTAAGCTCTTCAGCAGGAGCAGCAGAGTATCCTTAAGGAAGGAGAGAAAGGATAGTAAATGACAGGGTCTGAGAGGGACAATATGAATGATTTTATGATGAAAAATAACACACAACGAATACCTTGGCATTGCCGATGCGATCCGCCATACTGCCAGATCGATCCAGTAAGAACACAAACTCTCCACATGAGGAGACTGAAGATATCTCAGCCTGAGGGATCTCGGGGTACAGGCTCAGCATCACTACTGGATCACCCATCAGAGTGCCTGGAAATGCAGAAGAGAGACCACACATCTGGTTTTTAATCCCACATGTAACGCATCAGTTGGAGGATGAAGATAATTAACTTTTTATTTGCAAAAGTAAAACCTTCACTAATTTGCACTCACCAGGCTTGGCAGAGGCCTGTCCTGCCTCCACCACAGCAATGGGCCGGTGGGCGTCTTTGTAATAAATCAGCAGCTCAACATCTCTGTCAAACTTGTGTCCTGCAGCCAGCTTGACCTGCAGTTCACAAAACACATTCGGAAATATGAATCAAATGACGCATGTTGTTCTCAGTGGTGAGGAACAATCATCATTAGGACTCTACCTACCGTGGCCCGGGTTTGCTCTGTGTTGAGGTACTGGAGACGGTCCAGGGGACAGTTGGACTCTACTTTAGAGACTGGACGAGGAGAGGACAGTCGGGCAGAGAAAGACAGATTGTAGGGCACCAGAGAGGCTGGAACAGAGGTCACCTGCACACTGCCACCTTCACTACCTGTAAACAAGATCGGACACGTTAGGAATATTGTAAGAGCCAAGAATCTTTGGTTCAGCAGAAGTTCTGGATGACCAGAGAAGATCGCAAGGATACACTCAATTTGTTTTGGTAAGAAACACTAAATGTAAATCAAAGAAAACTCTGCAGGGCATTTGAATTTGTATAAATAAAAGGAATATCAACCAGTATAAAGTTAACCATTATATCAATATTGATTTCCTCCTCAGAAGCCAAGATGGTTTGGTGTCTGCCTGTGAGAGGAGTTGTGAGATGATGTGTTCTGCCTCCAGTGTATTGGACATTGGTCAAGAGTGGTGTGCACTTCAAGCTAAAAAAGTGTTGGCTGTTTTTTCCTACCCTGAGGTTGGTAGCGAGGGTTGAGCACGGCAGGCAGACAAAACCTCAGCCCATCATCGGCCTGCACAGCCAGCTCAGTGACGTACTCCAGCCTGATGGAGGCGCTCTCTCCTGGAGGCAGACTGCCCACACATAGAGAGAATACATCTGGACTCTGCTCACTCTCCTCCAACAGGTAGGCCTGCTGACCGGAGCTCAGAACGTCATCATACTCGTCACGAGCCTGGAGTACAGACGGCGCATGTGAGTAACATTCACTGTATTTTAAAGCTCCACTGTGAGTTGAGTCTTTGCTGACCAGCTCACCTCCTGTTTCTCCTTCACCTCAGCTACAATCTCTGTCTGTCCAGTCTTAGCACTGAAATGACAGACGGCAGCATCTCCAGGCAGAGGGAAGACAAAAACAGCCTCTATTGGTTTGTCTTCCTCGGTCTCGTAGCTCAGAGTGGAGACCACTGTAGCTACATGGTCCCTCACCTCCAGCTCCACCTCCACACTCTTCAGAGGAACTGAAAGAAACACAATCATATTTTTCCCACATTGTTGAGGATATACAGCTTAAAGTTTCTTCTCTACTGAATAGTTGCATTTTAGCCACACTAGAGGTGTGTCTGTTACACAAGATGTTAAACCTGCCTCTTGAATTTGCAAAGCAGGATACGTTATTAGGCCTATGTGCCCAAGAGCCATTACAGCTAACATAAGCAGACAACAATCTCTAACAACTCTGTACCTGGTTCCTTCTGGCAGGTTAGCAGACCACAGCAGTTCGCCATCATACCTGTACAACAATCAACAACAGTTAAAGACTTCCTGCTGTAGTGATGAATGGTAATGACTGTACATTCTGGCCGTTCCTTACCAATCAATCAACAATAAATATATTGATTTTCATCCATTATAAATATTTTTACATGAATGCAAACAAACATGAACATTATGGTTATAAACATGCTCTGGACACAGGACTGAATGTGAGGAAGATACACAAAAAAACACATTTTATATATTCACTACATGTATCATCGAACAAACTAAATAGATAATAAACAATACATATGATTATAAATATGTTAATTATAATGTAAGCTAACTGCATCGCCTGTTAATCTAATACACCCCATTTCCCTTCACATATTTCCTGTAATCATATATCAATTAACCACTTCACAATCAATAAATAGGATTCTTCTGCCTTAAATTACCTTTCTTCATCTTTCTTGATTGAGTTTCTCTCCTATTTTTGTCACTAGTTGATGTAAACCGTGGTAAGATGTTCAAAGTCCCAATGCAAAAGTGAGTACTATCTTTTAAAATATGTATGATTTGAACATCAACATTATATGTACACAAGTAGAATGCTCAGGTGAACATATTTATTGGGGAATTAAATCATAACAGACTTTGTTATTATAAACCGTTCTAATGGAATACGGAACAGGAGCATTCTGGAGTTGAATTGTAGGGGTTAAAGGTTAGGGTTAGGGTTCAGATTTTGTTTCACAGTAAAATATTTTGCAAATATCAAGTCACAAGCCTCTGTTAATCTTTACATCAATGCAAAACTAGGGTGTGTAAATGAAGAAAACTATTCATCAGCATGCACGTTTGTTGATTAATACCGCTGTACCAAATCATCTGCTGGTGGAAAGGTTAGTCTGGAGCCTTAATCCTAACGCTTGAATTGTTACGCACAGCGGGTGAGTGGGATTCACAATAACGCTGTTCTTGCTCACAAAGTCATTGCTCACCAACTGATTGAATTTGAGATCAAACCGAGCAAGGACGCACGCACACACACACACACACACACACGCACACACACACAGACTTTACAATCCTGACCCGATTTTGGTGATGGGGTGGTGTGGTTGCATTGCAGGACGGTTTCTAGTTTCTCTTCATTTTGATTGTCAGATTCCTCTGAAATGTGTTTTGCATCACAAGGTGTGCAGAATGACTCAGATTTCTGCGAGTAGTTTAAACATTAAGCCCACAGAACCGTCAGGTTCAGCGCTCTCAAAGAACATAATGACCCTGGAGAAAAACAAACATGCTGGTCCCTTGAGAGACGTACAGCTTTTATTAGTGAGGAGGTTCATGGAAACACCTCACACTGTTGCCCTGGACTAAAGCGAGTGGGGGCACATTTAATCACTTACCTCAATTTATGGGTCAACAATTTGTTCAAACAAAGTTGCTCTTTGACACCAGAGCAAAGCAAGAAAAATCTTTGTTTTTGTGTCGCCATCTGCTGCGTTTGGTTAAAAGATTGATTTCATCTTTCAGTCTTTTACAATCCCTGTAACTTTACAGACACATAAAACATCAATAGACCCTAAAACAAGAGGTATTTACACACATATTTAAGTGTATATTACAGTCGTTTGTGAGATATTTAACGCACTTTACACAGATGCCACTGCCAATGCCCATAAATATAAAAAATCACAGAAATATTGTAACATTACCTCAAGTGGTGTGCTATTCATGCAACATAGTTCACATTGACCAACAGACTTCTGTAAATTACTCATCATCTCTGGCTGAAGCGAGCGTCGTTAGCTGCTATACTAGCAAAGTGTAACACACCTGAAGTTACCCTAATGTGATTTTTATTCTATATACTCTCTTATGTTCTTCTCCATAATGATGAACGACTCTGACTGCTATATACAAGACGATGGTCTTTTACGACTCTGCCGCTGGGCTTTGTTGGAAATGGAAAATGTCTTTCTGCCTAAAACATAAAAAGAACAACCACCGCTGGAACACGTTTAATAGCACTGGTTGTAGATGTCTGGGCCAATAGTGCAACAACAATACCGGGTAATAAAATATTATTGTGAATCATTAGAAGTCGGTTTCATTTATTCATTTCCTCTTTTATTGCACCTTAAGTACAAACAAATTACCATTGTTATATTGTATTATATATACTGAGCCCTCTGTTTCCAAACCACACAGTTTTACAGTAAAATGGGTCTTTTCGGGGTCACCTTTCAAAGCCTTTCTTGATGTGATTTCATTTTAAGTTGTTATACTATTATACATTACTAAAATGCTGCACCTCTTATGTTACATATCTATTGTATACTTGACAAATTTTCCAAATCAGAGGTTCCAGGTTGTTAGTCTGAACAGAAAATGCTGAGACATGTAAGGCCACCAGGTGTCAGTGCAGCCTCACGTCACAGTTCTCTATTTACATTTTTAAAAGGTTCAGTTTAATCATTTGTTTTATTGGATTCTGGCTATAAAAAAAAGGTTTTGCAAAAGAGATTACTTGGTGAAATGTGAATCAGAGAGAGCTCATTCGTAAATTCATCTCTCTAAAACAGGATGGTATTTTGCAGGCTCTCTGATAAAAGCCTCACTATTGCTTTATAAAGACGAGCCTTTGTGTAACTCAGACAGTTTGTTATCAGCAGGTATGTGGTTCCTGTATGTTTAAAGAATGTCAAGACGAGCCGTTGTGTAACTCAGACAGTTTGTTATCAGCAGGTATGTGGTTCCTGTATGTCTAAAGAATGTCAAGACGAGCCGTTGTGTAACTCAGACAGTTTGTTATCAGCAGGTATGTGGTTCCTGTATGTCTAAAGAATGTCTTAATTAGCACTGCTGAGGAGATGAAAGTGTGAGTTCATCCTGCTGCTCTATTCACAGCCAAACACACAGAGATGTGTAAAAGTGTTAAACACTGGAACATTGTTCTGCCTTAAAACGTCACTGCATTAGTGAGACTTGCTTTAACAGTAAATCATTTCTGATAGTATCATATCGTGCCGTTCAGAACAAGGCTCACAATTCAGTACATAGTGTGCTAAACGAAATAACCAGACACAACTTTATACAACAGATTAAATGTTGCTGGAAAATCCCTGAGAGGGATCTGGCAAAATCAAGGTTTTTATTCAGAAATTCCAAATGTATTTTGCTGAATACGTTGAATGTTATAACGATCTAAAAAGGGACATGTAAGCCACATTGTACTTCTTTATGCTGCAAAACATATTCAATCCTAAATAAAACCACAATTTGATGTCAATTGGAAATGTGGATTCTACGAACCGTTACATTCTTTCTCAGATTTTTTCTTAAAAATCACAAACAGTTTTGTATCGATGGGCTGAAGCCTAAAGGAATAGAAATTGCATCTGACAGTTAGATGAGAAAATTGACTCCACCCTCATATTTGCATGGTAAACGTGGGGCTGAAGCCAGCAGCTGGTTTGCTTAGCTTAGCATAAAGAGCTGCTAGTAGGCAGACTTTTTTAAAATGCCGGTGACACCCCCTCTGGCTCCAAGCACCTTCGTCTCCCCAGGTTTCCAAGGTGAATGAAAATCATGATGTCGCCTCGAGCATGAGTTTAAGACAGCGACGGCAGGCTCATTTGCAGCCAGCTTGTCCTTTGAAGCGTTCGAGAGCCAACCTTTCCACCTGAGGAGTTAGTAATTGGTGTGCAGAGCACACAGCGCAGATCTCAGGAGCAGCCAGTTAGCGTGATACTCAAGCACTGCATGAGCTTTTCTCAGAGCACCTGTGAGAATTACAACATTACGATTCCACCTGTGTATGGGAACAGGCAGCAGTGAATGTCTTCTTTTTTTTTTTAGGCCCCTCTGCAGGATGGCACTTTGTGAATTCTGCAATATTCTTGCTGCTCCGCTCACTCTGGAGATACGGTTGGATAGCACAGTGTAATCCCTTGCTAACAAGCAGCTCCCCTCTGTATTCGGAAGAGGCGCAGGCCTGCTGGTCAGGACTGAAGAGGCTGCTTGTGACACTCTGATGCAATCATTTGTTTTAGTATTATGGAGGAAGTGCTTTGGAGGGCTTGTTCAGACATTTGGCTTTAGTAACAGGAGAAATCGTGCCCCCCCCCCCCCCCCAGTATCAGACACATGGGCTTTTATGAGGGGCCATCTGTTAGAGAACAAAATAATGACTTATTAACACGTCCCTTTGATCTAGATCAAGTCTACATATGATTTAAGAAGGATTACATTTACACTTGGTTTTTAAATCCATCTCGTTTTGAAAGTGCTTTACATTCACGTTTTTGAACACTTTTGTTTGTACTTTTAAAGTTGTCAAATGTGTGTCTGACCGGAACTTGATTTGAGTGACGACGTGCTCAATTTCTCACAGATTTAATGTTTTTTTATGCAACATTTTACCACAAGGATCCTGTCACCAGGATTTTATAAATACTGATGTCAAGAGTCTAAATAATTTGACTAACAACAAGGAAATGTCTGATTATTGTCCAATCGTATTTCATTTCCCTCGATGATGCTGGTTCAAACTTTATTTTGGAATATACAGTTCAACTGCTGCAGCAATTCTACTAATCTTTACTGTCATTTTCATTTTTTGGTCTAGAAATTAGATAGTGTCTGTTTTACTGGTGAGAATTTGTTCAGAAAAATTCCACATCTGATGCCACCTGTCCTAACAATGGACCTTACGTTCTGGTCATGCATCTCTTTAAATCATTGCTTCACATCCATATTTGAAATGTTTTCATAAATTTAAGTGAGAAGTTAATTGACAGAAAACACTTTTGATAAACAATATTATAGTTTGAGTCATTTATTAAGCAAAAAATTACAAACATTCACTGGGTTCATCTTCTCCAATGTGATCATTTCTTTTGTCAAATCAGAACAAGGCACATGAGGACCTTATACTGCATAGGTTTTATGAATGTATAAAGGCAATTTTTCACAATTTTCTGATATTTAATAGACAAAACAATTAATCCAGTCATCAAAAAAAAAACAAATATATATATATATATATATTGGCAATGACAATACCATTACAATAGACCCAATCAATTAACTGCAATATTTTCTGTACCTTCAGAGCACTCACATTACTTCATATCATTCCACTGTATTTGTTTCATTGTTGGTTTTGAAGGCTGCCTGTTATACGACAGATCAAGATGGTGGTCTGATGTTGCTTCACTGATTTTGTGGAGAATCTCTCCTAACCAACAACATATACATAAACACTTCTCTCCTTTCTTTGCCTCCTTTTGTTGTTGAAGTTATTTCTACTTCCCTTAATGACCCTTGAATTTATTGCACTATACATACGTGATATACAGTAAGTGGCCTACTGCAATGTGATGTGTTTGTTCTGTCATTTACATATCGAGTATGAATCGGTTGTATGTTACAACCAAATATGAGTTGTTTGCAACTGGAACTGGAACACTTTTTTACTCAGTGTTGTCATTTTTGTCTGTATTGTGAATATTGAATTGTTGAAAGGGGATAAAAGTGCTAAAGAAAATGAAAACTATGACAATAACATCAATTTGATTGTAATTGAGAAGATTAAACTCGGATCATTCACAGAAATAATGAGGGCATGACCTCAGAGTCCTCAGTGAATCTACATTCACTTCATGAAAATGGATCGGTCCTATTGCAGTGGTGCACTGTCTCATTGTCTGTCTCCTGTGACAGCTACAGTGTTGTTAAAGCAGCTCTACTCAGAGTTAAAAAAAACAACCAAAAGACACTAGAGCCCCCCTCCATGGCTTTGATTCCAGTGTGAAATTCATCCCATTATAGTTACACTTCCAAAACACTGTCTGGGCTTTGTGCTGCCATTACGCAATGATCCCATTCTGCCAAGCTGCTAGGCAGCGGGCTCACAGCCACAACAGTCGCTTGCTCAGTCTAGTGCTGGGCGGTATACCGGTTTTAATTCCCCGTATGATATGAATTCTGACGTTTTACGTTTCTCCAGCCACTGTTGTTGCAGCTGGTGGTAACACGAGCAACTTACTCCATCACCTCAGCAGAAAACCAGTAACGTTAACGCGAGTGAAGCCGAAGGGTCAGACATCGCTTGAAGGAGGCATTTGCTCGAGGCAACAAGAAAAGCAAGCGGTGGAGCGACATTACAAACGCAATAACGATCCAGCTCTGCAAGGACATGGTCCCGCTACAGACAGTCGAGAAAGATGGGTTCAGAGCAATGATTAAAACACTGGATTCAAGGTACGTCTTACCGGGGCGAAAATACTTCAGCCAAACTGCTCTCCCAACATTATACGAACAAACGAGCACACCCTGTAGTCAGCAAATCCTTTATACATGATGACATTAAATGTTTTTATATTCTATGTACTCCTGACAGTAGAGTAAGCCACTATAAACCTCTATAAAAACACAGTCAAGGAAAAAAAAAATACCGTGATATACCGTGAAACCGCCAGAATCTTAAAAAATACCGTGATACACAGTTTTGGTCATACCGCCCAGCACTAGCTCAGCCCCACACTGCTGTCTCATGCATTCATGTCGTCCAGGGAGGGAATCTGGAAACCGTCCACACACATATTCATCCACTCTTCTGGGGATTGTCCCTGGAGCGAATCTCAGGATTCAGCTGGAACCAGAGCGTGGGAGCTGTTCACGCTGGCGGTGACGGCGGCCGGCTTCCAGTCTGGCTGGTGAAAGTGGATGTTGAGGGTTCGAGCCCAGTTCGCAAACACGGCCTTCTCCGTGTTGTAGCGGTGTCTTCCTTTTTGGTTCCTCTCGTTGGAGAGATACATGGAGCACTCGTTGGGCCCCGAGGGCTGGTAGTAATGATACGGCAGAGAGGGATGAGAGGAGGATCTACACGGGAGAGCCGAGGAGAGGAGTAAAGTGTGAGAAAAGGCATGAACGTTAGAGAGGGAGGGATGGGAATGATTATGAGACGAGGGTGGGGGAGAGGGAGCGAGTCACAGCGGGGGAGAAATGGAGAGAGGAACAAAGAAAAAAAGAAAGATCAGAAGAATCTGGGCTCACAGATGTGTTCATTATTCACCATCGTATTCCTCTGATATTCACGGTCACGCCAAGCTCAGTTCAATCTGGCCTGCATTTCTCTCTGAATATCTAAACCTGTCAAACTGTCCTTTATGCCGTTGTAGATCCATGTGAGAACATTATGAGCCAAATTATTTGCAATGTGAAACGACTGTACTTGCATTTCTAACCTATTAAGTGAAAAATGTCAAGATGAACATTTCCACTGGTGCAGGGTGTAAATGAACGATTGTCATCACAAGTTGAAGACACCATTAAAGATGTACAAGATTTTGATGTGGAAACACACCCTCGTTGTCAGCACACAGTGTGGAGTTGAAGGCGCTGCAACAGAAGAGAGCGAACCCAACCAACCTTCATGCACTAGTTGCCCCACTTGCTCAAACAGGAAGTGACAATTTAAAAAGTCCCGAGGATGAGGAATTCGTTGGTGTTGGATGTATAATTTAACAACTGAGCTACTGAACAGAAGTTTTAGTGCATAATGTTACTGTTACTGTCAAATGAATTACACAAAAATCTCTTATAGTATGTACTATTACTTGGTTGCTTGCTTGGTGGAGTTTTCCTGACTTTGTTTCCCTATAATAGTAAATATAATATTTAATAATACATTTGTGAAATGTGGGAAAATGTTTGGTTTTAAGTTACATATTTTATCACGATGCCTTCAAATGAAGTGAGGTAGTATTTTGACCTGAAAAGTCAAGGACACAATATTATTGCCGTTGAGGCCATGTGAACACTGTTGCTAGGAAACTGACAATGAAAAGGGACATTGCCTAGTTTCTTTTTCAAAGGTGGTCAATGATTTTGTGTTTTCTGAGTTTCAGTGTCAAACATAATTGATGAAAAAAACAATCAAAAAGAAGCTTTCGTGGGCTCCAACACTTTTAAGAACATTCATCACGACTCGTGAACGTTCAGTCTCATTGTGGGACATTTAAATGGATGCTTCTTAGGAACACAACGCTAAATACTTGAGGTCAGAACTGGAAGATAATGGCTGGATGTATATGCGTATGATTTAATGTTATGCTGTAACTTGAAGTACATTGTATTAAGTGCGACCTTAAATCATGTGATTGTGATTTTACATATTTACATAACATGTTTTATGCCTTTTTTAAGCTTTATTTTATATTCTATTTTTCACCTGACTGCAAGACACATTTCCCTTTGGTTTAAGAAAGTTGCAATAATCAATATTTTTATATTGCCAATAAATCAAATGACATTGTGCATGTGAAAGGTGTCACTTGTGGTGGTGAGCCCCGAGAGATTCATCACCAGACTCTGCAGTTCCTTTCTGCTTTGTGTCTTTCAGCTCTTTGTTTTGGTTTTATGGCCTCAGCTTTACTGTTCTGGTTGAGTGTCACAGTTCTCATCAGCGTTGTTTTCAGACACAACTGGCAGCGAAAAAGCTTTTATAAACCCAGTGCGCAATTTCTCCCCAGCACCGAACAGCAGACAGACAAAGTCTGCGTCCAGCTGGTGAACATAGTGGCGCATTTAGCAGCTTTCCCAAAGTGAGTGAATATTTGACTTATACACCAGGAGGCCAGACTCCAAATGAATACTAATTTTGCTCCGCATCTATTGGAACTGATAAAGTTGACATATAGCTAAAGTAGAAAGTTGTGGACATACATTTAACTAAATGAACAGAATTTGATCTCATCCCTTTGGTATAAAATTACAGACTGGCCTGCTAAGCAAGCTGCTAAGTTCACAGATAGTACATAGTATTGATATTTTGCTATTTTTTAGCTTCCCACTAGTGTGCAAAATTGAGTTGAAATTGCTAAACACCTAAATTCTGGGATTAGAAAATAATCGGAGTTTTACCTGCAGAAATCAGGCGGCACCATGCCGTACACATTGATGCTGTCACACAGCTCCACAGCTATGGCCATGGTGAACCAGCCGGTAGTCAGCCAGGACTTGGCCCTCATCCTGGAAGAAGAGAGGAAATCACATATTTACAAATTCCACACTCATATAGGGTAAATATTTTGGTGGTACTGACTCCTTCCAAGAGACTAACTGATCAAATGATACCAGATTAAAGCTTTGAATTCATAATTCTAGAATTTTTCTGATCAATTATCTTTTCAGAAAGAATAAATAAGAAGATTGAAGAAAGACTTTCTTTGATTCTATGCCTTGTACACAATAAAATAAACATCAATGAGAAAGACATTTATTTTGGCGCTGACTGTGCTTGTTTGAAGGTTGATGTGATTGGATTCTTAATTCAAATGCAACATCCTCTTATCTTCCTGTTAGCTTTCTCTTCACATGCAAATTAGTTTATGGAGTGATGTTGGCAAAATGTCTTTATATCGAGCTCTTATTTTGCAAGATCATTGTCAGCCAATTTTCTACAGTACAGGTTGGTGGAGCCATTTAAATGTTGACCAATGAGTGATGCTGGGGGAATCCATGAGCCTATATAAGTGTAGACTAAATTGACACAGGTGTGGCAGACAGTGAGGTCCATGGTAATTGACTGTGAGTCAGGGTGATGGTGTTTACAGTTTGAGTTAATAAATGGATTGGTATAACCGATATTAGGTTTACTCATCACATTGTTTTTCGGGTTGTAATCACTGGGTAAACATAACACATCTTACAGAATCCAAATGACATTGAAACAAAATGTGTGTGTTTTCCTTTCTGATGTTGAGCCACATCTGTAGAGGTCCTGCTACATGGTAGCACATAATAAGAAAGTGCTTTGCAATAGTCTCCCTAAGCCCGGCATTAGTGGGTCAACTGTGAACGTGGCATGAATCAAATCCCTGAAACTCCTTTCAGAGATAATAGACACGTTTTAATCTAAATCCTATTAATAATGCTGTGAATGTTTGGAGCTCTGACTTATTCTTTTGTGAGCTCGTATGCTAAAATATGTGAGGATTTTTCAGAAGAAAAAAACCCCTCAAACACAGGACTGATTCTGTGGACATTTACCTGTTAACCCCCGTTTCCTTTTCATACAGTTCATCGAACTTCAGCATTTTGATCCAAGTAGTGCTGTAGACTTTAAGTTTGGGCAGTTGCCGGTTCAACAGCCTGAGTTTGTTGTAAATGTGGCCTTTCCCATCCTGTCTCATGCTGCTGTTGGGTCCCCAGAAGATGAACACTGTGTCTTGGCTCGCATTGAGCAGCTCCTGCTGGCTCCGCAGGACCATCTGCAGGCTGGTGTGAGCTACGACACGCAGGCTTGTGCGTCGCCCAACGTCCTGCTGATGTCTTATACTGGGAGCATCGTTCATACGGATTACGCACTCAGAGCTGTCGATTTCCTCACCTCTCCTGCTCCCGATTAGCTGGCCGGAGCTGGTCACCAAGGCACAAGTCCTGCAGTGCATCTTCAGAGGCTGTATAGATGAAAGGTTAGAGATCAGATTGGTTTTTAATCCAGAGTATAGTCTTATCAAGCCATTACATTTTCCATATGGAATCACTTCCGTTTTTCTGTCAGTAAAAACCTTTTAAAAATGACAGCATGACGTATTCTCAGAGGCAATGAAAAGAAAATACTACACGCAAAAGTGCTCACCACGACAATGCTATACCATACCAATGTTCATCGTCATAACTAAGTGTGTTAGCATGCTACCGTTTTCTAATTAGCACCAGACATGAAATAATGCTAAGGTTCATGGGAATGTTGTTGATTTTGGAAATATTTGATAATATTGACATGTTCATTTCACTAAAAGAAAAGTAGAGGGATCACTAAAGGGGAACATGATTGTCTGTCCAAAAATTCATGGAAATCCATTTGAGACATTTCCCTCAAAACACTGCTAGAGCAGGGTTTTCAAAGTCTCTGTGGGTCTCGTGATCGTATTTTGATAACTAATGCAACATTTACCTTCCACTTTGAAAACCTCTGTGCAAGAGGAAAAGTCATGAAGGAGATCACTAAAGTAGTAGTAGTAGTAAAATGGAGTCACCACGCTAGTGTGTCTAGACGAAACATAAAGTTAAAGTAGCAACAGGCAAAAGGGATGCGTCCTGTAGCCGTTAAGGGCGAGTCTTACTTGCAGAGAGGAAGAATCCTATGATCCTGAAAGAGTTCAGCACAGTCAGTACGACAGCACATGTGGACAACTTCAACTGAAAACAGTCCACACTTAAATGCTGCCCTTTAGTACTATGATTATGCTGTCTTCTGCAGCCACAAAGGACCTGAATAAAGTGTAACTGGCAGAGTCGAGCAGCTAGACTGGTAATGGCCTCTTCTGTCAGGTATCCTATTATTCAAATGCACTGCAGGTCGACACTCGACAGTAGAGCAGAGGCTATTCTGTGCAAATACTTTCATTTTGTAGGAACATCATGAATACACATAAGCCGGTATATTTATTCATTCAAGCACCACATCAGAGCAATGGAAGGAATACATGTGCAGTACTGGTCAGAACACGCATTGATTTCATCCAAAATCCCACATTAACATCCTGTTTAGTTTGCTAAAACTGTGTGTGAGATATTTTAGTACGTCTTAACACTTGAATGTAGATGTAAGTATAATATTCCACTTTATGCAGAATACATTAGTTCACAATTGATAAATTCTCACAAATCATCATTCTGTCACATTAGGTTGAATCAGGTCACCAAGGTTTACACGTCTAAAACCGGCAAAGGGGCTCTCAGGAAGTGATGTGATAATCACAATTCAGTGCGTCCGAAAAGATACACACTACTATTTACTCACACAAGTTGAACGATAGTACACATATTGTGTAAGTAGTCCATAGTATGGGATTTCTGACTCAGCAATAAGCTTTGTCGAGGTGCATTGCAGGGCAGTTGTGTTGGTTGGCATTATATTGACCAAGAATTTGTGTTTAGTGTCCAAACAGGTCTTCCAAGTTGAAAAAGGCGAGCTGGGATTGAGTGATCTGACAGCAAAAGCCCAGAAACTCTTCACATGAATTATTCTGAACCTTAATAGAGAGCTACATTGTGTGTCTGTATATGTGTGTACAGGTGGTGGTGTCTGTGGATGTCCTTAAATGTTTGTGCAGAGTTCAATGTCGACCCAGATACGTCATACAATCACGTTTCTCTGGCAAGAGTCTGCATCTGTCTAAAAAGTGTCAAGATCCAAAACCAGTTGTAATCCCTCCTACACACACATGCACAGTCACTGTCTCTATGCATTGAGGAACAGGTATTTCCAATCCCACACTGCCCAAACAAACCATTTCCTGTTGTGTCATGTTGTGTGTGTGTGTGTGTGTGTACATAGACCTCCCTTAATAACAAGTTGGCTTGAGCAAATGATGCGCTTCACTGCACAAACACCCTCCCTGCCTTAAAAAATATCCCAGTCCTATTAGCTGTTTCTTCTTTTACATGCAACAGATAGAGTGCATTTTCCCTTCGGCACCGTCCAAACAATTACCATTATCATTTTGAAAGTCGGGGAATGTATTAAACTAGGAAAAGGCAATTGAAGGTTGCATGGACAGTGTTGTGGTTTAAAATGCTTGTGAAATACTTTAAAAGTGTCCTTGACGGTGGCGCTGAAGCTCCAGTGTCAGATCCCCGAGCTTCTGACAGCTTGACGATGCTGGGAAATAGCCACTTATGGACCGTGGTGCATCACATTGAGAGGGGCATTCAGAATCAGATGGAGAATATATATCAGACAGCAGGCAGCTGAAGATGTGACCCACATACTCTCAAATGAATGAGTGTATTGTATTGCATATTACAGGTGGATTTCTTTACTCATATTCAGCCTTGAATTAACACAGAGGTCCTTTAATTTGTGAACCAATTAGCACTCGAACACTTGGTGACTCCCACAGAGACACTCAGTCTGCACTTTATCATGCAGGCAGAGGGCTGTCTGCCTTGATCAATAATGCATAACCTCATAAGATAACACTTTCCTGGATAATTCAACTTCATGAGGCCATTCAGCGAACTCTGATGTGATTGCCGACCAAAGAGAGACTTCCGGTGTCATGGCAGTGTGAAGATGTCTCCACATGCGCTCCTCATTCATTTATAGTTCACCTGGGAGGTCGTCTATCGAAAATGCATTCAAATAGTTTCTAAACATTCCCTGTTATGGTACTAAAAAGTATCTAGAGGCAATACCAGACTAAATGAGGCTGCTAACCAATGCAACACAATAGCTATCGTCTGTTTTTACTGTTGTTGTAATTAATGAAGCCTACTTTCCTTTGCTTCCTCTCTCTCTCTATCATGAGTCTTTACGTCAAGTGTTCTCTCTTCGTGCTCGTCAGACAGTCACCACACAACAAAACAACTTTGAAACAGAACTTTACATGTCGTGATCAGAAGACAAAGTAGACAACAAAGACCGTGAAAGGTGAACCAGGACCAAGAAAGAAAGAAATCTATGCAGCAGGATAATGAGGACTTTTGGTTTGCTCCAGTAATTGGGGACAGGCTGGATAAAGTCAACCCAAAGCTTAACTCATAAGTTAAATTCAAAATCTAACAGGTGCCATTTTAGGCGGAGATGGACTCCCCAAATCAACCGTTAACAAAAGAGATGGCTTTTTTACGCGATCTTTTTATAATCTATATTTACTTTACACTTTAAGTATCCAGTACTGTTTATTCTGGCTCTGGCGCAATACATCTCCACTTTTCTAAAGTATTAACCCCAAGCAATAGGGAAGTCATATTTATGACATTGCATATTAAATCATATTTACAAATGAACCACATTTGAAGTAATGTCCATGGCATGTGTGCTGCTAAGGATTCGACAATGCATTGCTTGAGATTTTATTGATGTAAGGATATACGGATAGATAAGATATACCTTCACCTGCATTGATGATGCAAAATGATGATTGGTTTGGTTTCATTCTGTCATAAATCAACCTACACATAACGTATATTTTTTTTAATTAAAAATGTCTTTTCATACTATTCTTTCACAAACAGGAGTAAATAGTGCATTTGTTGGGGACTATTTTCAGCTGCAAACTTGAACATACCTTCTATATGCTGTGCAGTGGGTGTGACCACAAAAAACGAGACCTAAATCACCTAAACCGACCTAAAGCAGTCGTCTAATAGTTGGAATATAATACAGCGAGGCGTTAGCCTGGTTAATCTGTAAAGACGCTAACTGAACTGAATAAAAATCGTAATTTGTAAGCTGGTACATTTCATGGTTAAGATTTTATTATCAATTACACCTACAAGACTGTAATGGGATTTGTTGACAATAAGAAAAATGTAGAATATCTCCAACCTTTTCCCTTGATGTCAAACATCTTCTGATGTGAGCAGTGGTGTGCAATCATGAAGACTCAGCTGTATTTTCTTAATTATTTAGATGTTGAGCATTATCATAACAGTAACTGTACACTTTCTGAAACTAACAGCTCAACGGAGAGCAGAGGTGGATTAAGTGGCGCGGTTGTGTGGTGTGAAGTTTAATGATCAGAGCTGCTTTCTTTTCTCAGAGACCAATTAATTACATCGAAACCCTCCTGACGGTTGACATCTCATTAGGCTCCTTCTGGCAACACACATTCAAGCCACGACACTAAACTTGCTCTGTTCTCAATTTAAGGGAATAAAGGCGGTTCAACAGTATGAGTATGGAGCCTCGTTAGCAGCACACTGATGGGGAGAAGTGAAATAATATCTGGCTAGTTTCCACCATGACCAGAAAGAAGATGATATTCATGACTTCCTGTCAGCTCTTGCCATTCACCATAAGAAAAACACAGTGGTATCGCTACACGACCGGATCAGCCAGACCCCATTTGGAAATGGTCAGAGATCTGATCACAATGTAGGCACAATCGAGATAACGAGGAAAGCATTTTAATATAAGGCGTAAATGCTAAGACCCATTTATTGGATGTCATCACCCGGATACACATTACATGTTAAAACCAGGTGTAGTTTATACGTATATAAGCAGGACTACAAGCTGGGCTATGTAATGTAAGTCTGAAGACGACATCTGATTCGGTTTTTCCAGGAGTGCTTCCTCACTTTGAGTGGATCTAAACTTTGCATATCCTGAAACCTCATCCATTAAGTAAGCTGACCATTAACATAGCGATTGTATAGCACATCTTACAAAGAACGGGGTCAGCGTAGGTGAGAGATTTATTTTTGTATAATTGACTTTCTAATGACACCTTTTTTTCCAGGGCTGACAGCGTTGTAGGCTGTGAGAGACACGGAGAGGTATTACCCATAATGAGTAGGTACATCATAAACTGGCACAGGCCCACAATCCACATTCATGCTCTCACACAGGCTTTGTGATTAGAGTGTATAAAGGCCAATGTAGATTGATTCTGCTGACAGTTCTTCAAAGGTCAACATCTCTTTAACTGGAATCAGCAAAACGTCAGAGAGCGAGAGAAGATGAGGAGCTAAGCAGAAGGAAAGAGAGGCTGTCTAGGTGTTCAAACTCAAATGTGTGTGTGTGTGTGTGTGTGTGTGTGTGTGTGTGTGTGTGTGTGTGTGTGTGTTTGAAAGAGTATTCAACTCTGTGGCTCTAATTATTGTAGCTTGTCAAAGAAAAGAAATACATGCTAGAGAAGGACATCTCACAAAAACCTGAAGAGATTGCAGAAGGCAGACAAAGAGGAACATAATGAACACAGAGACTCCTAGCAAGTCGCTCAAAATATCCCACATACTGTGCACCATAACTTTATAGTCTGATCTCACAGTGTATAAATGTCTTTCAACAGTGCTGCTCTGCTGTTTTCATATCACCATTAAGCACTGAAGGGGCAGAAGGAAAAGCCAAATGTTTAGTCTTTAATGCACTGCCGCAAGAAGTAGCACAGTCTTAGCGATTGATGTGTGCTTGGTGTTTTGCAAACTCCTGGGTGAGATGTAAATGGGCGAAGCAACCACAGACCATCACCAACCTCGGTGAAATCCCAACCCATGCAGACAAGATATGCACATTAGTTGATATGGACCATAAACAGGGTCCAGCAGGCACATTAGATAGAGCTCCCCTCGCATTTTTAAAGCTTCCCTGGCTCTGACGAGGGCATAACATTTTAACAACACGTCTGGGTATTTGCATGCAGGTTGTCTGCATGCGTGCGCCACAGCTGTGTGAATGTGTGCGTAACCCTGTGTGAGTCAAAGCCAAGATTCCCTCAAGCGGCAGCAGCAGCAGCAGCGGACCTCAGATGACCCTGAAGGAAATAATACAGACCGATCCACCCACTCTACTGATCCTACAGCAGGTCTGCTCTGGTTAGTCATTCCCCGGCTGTCGGAGGGTGAAGCAGCAGCAGCAGGAAGAGCTGGAAGCCCCACGGGAGCTGGGAGCATAGTGACACTAAGCAGTATGAAAATGTCGCAGTGTGGATCCATCATGAATCAGCTGTCAGCCAGGAGGAAGTGGTCGAACATGAATGATTTGTGAATAATGTAGTGCCTACAAAAAAAAAAGTTCCAAACTCTCATTTCTCTTAGGAGCCACGGTAAAATCTTTTTTTCATTGACTTTAAAGGGATCCCAACATGGCAGAGGAGACCTGAACGTAGAAGCTGGCAAAGTCAAGAAGTCCAGGAAGCCTCAGCCGGATTAAACCTCTCTCCAAACCTACAACGCTCTCACACTCTCCTATCACTGATCATTAATCACTGAAAGGTGAAATGTAACAACACTTTTTTCCTTCCAAATCCTCTCCTGTCCGGAGCTGCCTGAGCAATGTGCTTCGAGCGGAAAGCTATCTTTCTCACAGAGGGGGAGACACGACGGCGTCTGAATGATCTGTCTGTAACACTGTGCTGGTTTCTCAATGATAGGCCTCTGCATTACAACAACACTGACTGTGGCGCTTATACCAAAAGATTACAGCGGTGATGTCTTGAGTAGCCGTTCACGTAGAAATCCATCCGGTTTTAAGTGCTTTTGTCACTAAATATTTCATGGCGGGTACATCAATTATGAACCAACAAACAGAGTAAAGTACAGACATCATTTAGAGAGTGTTCTACCACAGCAAGTTCAGCTTTTGACTTCATTGTTTAAGAGATTGATTGTTATTATTATAGCCTTACAGGGGACAGAAAAGCTGTAATAAACTTCCATTTCATTCTGTAGCTTTTCCTTATTAGTAGAAATTGCTACAAAATTTCATTTATCACATTCAGAGGGCTTTACTGCTATCGCTAAAAACAGCGCACTGCCTTAAAAACATATCAAATGTAAAAGCAAATGCAAATAATCATTGTATTACCCAAGGTGAAAAACCTGGATGTCGCATTCAGCTGTAGGGTGGCTATGGACATGTACACAAGTCAAACACATCAGAAGAGGATTTTTCAGTTCTCTCTGTAACCAGGGCAGCACCAGAAGCTTCAAAAAGACATTTTCAGTGCATTCCTGAACCTACATTTACATGTTCGTGTCTCAGTTGGATGACAGTTGAATACAGATTAAGTGCACTTTGTGTTATATATGTGGCAAAAGTGTCAAAACAATCAGTTTTCTTTTCAAGGGGTGGCTGCTTGATACAAATATGTCACGCACAATATATCCCAATGCCAAATTCCTTGATGTAGAATGGCAAGAGACTAAGGTTACTACCTTCATCTTAAGGATAGCCACTGTATGTAATGCATTAACTGATTCAGTGAATCAAGCAAGGTCTGTCTGGCACATCCCAGACAATAAAGATATTCAAAGTGACTTTGCTGCTTCTTTTTCTGTATACAACAAAGCCCCATGTGCTGCTGTCCTTGTCACTTGTATCTCCACTGCCGGCCTCCACATGCTCCTTCCAAAAATCTTTATAACCACTTTTCATCTGCCAGTATGCTATTACCCCAAATCCCACTCCCGTCTCCATGCAGGCTCCTAATGCACCGACAAGAACCTGATCCCTCACCCCAAAACACTGTCATTGTGTTTGATGGATCACAACCAAGCTGAGGTTTACCCTCTATATCTCCGTGGTGGTGGGTGAACCAACCTGCACCACTCTCCTGCATCATTTATTGAAGTTGAGCTTTGGTTCTTTTCAAACAAGATAAATACCATAAAATGGAGTTCATGCCCTGTTTACTGAAATTAATTATCATACAGATTCCCCTTTTCCATCTGGCCTCCCTAGCTCTTACGTATAGCTATATTAGACATCATCACTGTGCAGTGCATCATGAAATAGCAGAAGGAGACAGATCACAGTGCACAGATGGTGCATAATTACCTTATGATCCATGACACCTGTGTACCCCGCAAGTGTTGGGAGTGGCTCCGGTCTCTCTTGTTTTTTCATGGATGGAACAGGACCATCTAAACGGTGTAACGATAGTGACGGTGAGGGATATGATCTGTCACCAGAGCCGCTGTTGTTGTACACCAACAGAAAACCGGTAACCATGGTGACGAAGATGATGCCACTAACCCCATGGCACTGCAGAGAGACACATGACAGACGTTAAGATATAAAATAAGAGCCTAGAAACAAAATCAAGTCAGAGCATTCGATTTCGAAAATCAGCTTCAGGATAAGAGCTACATTTTCTTTTTTTGATCAAGAAGATCACTGCTAATTAAATGTCAGCTTTGAAAGCAGGGGCAATGCAGTAATTGCAGCTGCTCTTTTCCTCATGCAAGGCTGCAGATGGAACCTCAGCTGTGCCACTCTGTTGTTCAGCGGTAAATACTGATGCCTGGAGTGGTATGCCACTCCTTTTCTAACAGCATATACCGTTTCCTGAAGGCAGGTGCCGCTTGAAAGTTCATATTAGTGGTATGCCATTCATTTCAGTGCTCTCAGTGGGCAAGCACAGAGAGCACTGCAGTCATTACAGTTTCCAAAAATTATATTAATATTTACAAATATATCCATCCATCCATTTTCCTCCGCTTATCCGGGGTCGGGTCGCGGTGGCAACAGGCCAAGCAGGCCGACCCAGACCTCCCTCTCACCGGCAACATGTTCCAGCTCATTCTGGGGGATCCCGAGGCGTTCCCAGGCCAGCTGGAAGATGTAATCCCTCCAGCGTGTTCTGGGTCTACCCCGGGGTCTCTTCCCAGTTGGACGTGCCTGGAAAACCTCCAGTGGGAGGCGTCCAGGAGGCATCCTAATTAGATGCCCGAACCACCTCAGCTGACTCCTTTCGACGCGAAGGAGTAGCGGCTCGACTCCAAGCTCCCTCCTGATGACCGAGCTCCTTACCCTATCTCTAAGGCTGAGCCCGGCCACCCTACGGAGGAAGCTCATTTCGGCCGCTTGTAACCGCGACCTTGTCCTTTCGGTCACGACCCAGAGTTCGTGACCATAGGTGAGGGTAGGAACGCAGACCGAGTGGTAAATTGAGAGCTTTGCCTTCCGGCTCAGCTTCCTCTTCACCAAGACGGTCCGGTGCAGCGCCTGCTTTACTGCTGCAGCCGCACCGATCCGTCTGGCGATCTCCCGCTCCATCTTACCCTCACTCGTGAACAAGACCCCAAGATACTTGAACTCCTTCGCTTGAGGTAGGCACTCCGTCCCCACCTGGAGGGAGCAATCCACCGGTTTCCGGCAGAGCACCATGGCCTCAGATTTGGAGGTGCTAACTCTCATCCCCGCCGCTTCACACTCGGCTGCAAACCGCCCCAGTGAATGCTGGAGGTCACGATCCGAGGAGGCTAACAGGACCACATCATCTGCAAACAGCAGAGAGTCGATCCCGAGACCCCCGAACCTGACGTTCTCCACCCCCAGGCTGCGCCTAGATATCCTGTCCATGAAAATCACGAACAGGACCGGTGACAAAGGGCAGCCCTGGCGGAGGCCAACACCCACCGGGAACGTGTCTGACTTATTGCCGAGAATGCGGACACAGCTCCTACTGCAGTCGTACAGAGACCGGATCGCCCGTTGTAATGGGTCCGGCACCCCATACTCCCGCAGCACCCCCCACAAGAACCCCCGAGGGACCCAGTCGAAAGCCTTCTCCAAGTCCACAAAGCACATGTAGACTGGTTGGGCAAACTCCCAGAACCCCTCCAGTAGTCTTGCGAGGGTAAAGAGCTGGTCCACTGTTCCACGGCCGGGACGGAATCCACATTGCTCCTCTTGTATCTGAGGTTCGACAAACGGTCGGAGCCTCCTTTCCAGCACCCTGGCATAAGCCTTCCCCGGGAGGCTGAGTAGTGTGATACCCCGGTATTTCGAGCACACTCTCTGGTCCCCCTTTTTGAAAATGGGAACCACCACCCCGGTCTGCCAGTCCATGGGCACTGATCCCGACCCCCATGCGACATTGAAGAGGCATGTCAGCCAGGACAGCCCAACTATGTCCAGCGCTTTCAGCATCTCAGGGCGGATCTCATCCACCCCCGGCGCCTTGCCACCAAGGAGCTTTTTGACTACCTCAGCGGCCTCTGCCAGGGATATGGGTGAGCCTCCCCCTAGATATTCAGGCGCTGCCTCCTCTGCAGAGGACACGTTGGTCGGGTTTAGGAGTTCCTCAAAGTGCTCTTTCCACCCGACGATGTCCCCTGTCCGGGTCAGCAGTCCCCCCCCCCCCTGCTGAGAACAGCCTGGGGTAAGCCCTGCTTTCCCTTCCTGAGCCGTCGGATGGTTTGCCAGAACCTCCTTGAGGCCAACCGAAAGTCCTTCTCCATGGCCTCCCCAAACTCCTCCCATGCCCGAGTTTTAGCATTCGCGACCACTGCAGCTGCAGCCCTTCTGGCCTGCCGGTACCTGTCAGCTGCTTCGGGAGACCCCTGGGCCAACAAGGCCTTGAAGGTCTTCTTCTTCAGCTTGACGGCTTCCCTCACCTCCGGTAGCAGTGGAACGTTTCACATAAAGTCAGCATACTGAGCACAGATAGTGAAGAGATAGAACTGCTACTGTGTAAAGAGAATACTGCTGTTAAAAAGAACCTGATGTGTTTTTAAGTGTTTACAAACCAAATGTTATTGACCTTTGTTCATATAGCAGTACTTTTAAAATAAAAGTGCACAATACACTACTTTTGAATTCATTATTGAACTTTGCCATAACAATGCGATTAATCGCGATTACAAATTGCAATTGTTGCCCAGCACTAATATATATATATATATATATATATATATATATATACGTATATATATGTGGTGGTATAGAATGGCACTATATAGGTAGGTACCGTTTGCTGAAGGCAGGTGCGCTTGAAAGTGGTAGTCCACTGTCAGACAGGCACAGCAGTACCGTCTCTTGATGCATATGCACATTTAATGCATATCAGTGATGCCGGAAATGTATTTTTTCTGACTTTATTGACAAAGTGGCGCAACACAGCGTCTTAAATATAGGAATGTATCTATTTTATCTCGTCCATTTTCTTGTTCGGATATATGAAAAGCTTTTTAAATGACAATAAAGTGATTTAGTTTTTGCTGATCTGCCCTGAAACTGATATTATTGCCAATGTGTATATATACATAGACGCTGTGTTGCACATACCGCTGAACAACAGGGGTGTACCATCGGCCACTTTTCGATCTCGGCATTACTGATTACTTTCCCCTCTTGCAGGAAAAAAAAGATCTTTAAACATGTGCTCTCCTACATGATTGTCTTATAGGAATCAGATCAGTTAAAGATTATTTAAATGGTCAACATTAAAATGAGATCATAGTACACAATATAATGACAGCTCACCCTGTAACTCACTTATGAGAATACACTAAACGCTTCCCACAAATAAACATTACAGTGATATCTCATTCATAATTACCACTCTTATCTCCATCTTCACTGCCCCTCCAAATTCCAACCTTCAACCTATCGTCCTCTTAAAAGCTCCCTCGCAGAGGACAGAGGAGTCAGAGGAGCGTCGGGACTCTTCAGCATGCAACACTTGAGCGGCAGCAGATCAGCGCGCAGCAGTGACAAAAAAAAGAGAAAACGACGCTCCACTACTCTTCTCCCATGCTCTCCGTTAAAGGGATGGCCTCACTCGACACTGCGCTCCTCATGGTCCTAAACAACTCATGTTCCCAGCCCAACCCTCAGTCTCAGGGTTCACTGGGGGTTCATGAGATGGTAATTATACACTTAACACTTAACTGTTACTGTGCAACACGCAGTAATTATCCTGGTCAATATCAAGGGAGCTCTGAGTGGTTCTCGAATGTGTTTTCTCAGTGGCATTATTGCGTATTTGTATCTCTGTTTCTATAGTTAATTATTCCTTTACAGCTTTTCTTGGCACAATTAAATCAATCATAGTCAACACACTTTGTGAAATAGCTAATTTTCACATGTTAGCTCAGAGTAAATGCATTTTTCATTGCTTTTATAAAGCATCGCAGTTATTTTCAAATGGTCCAGTGATGTATTCAGTCTCAAAATGTTTTATGTGGGTTTTTTTTAAAATGTATTATTCTCCAATGTGTTAATCAATATGCTTATTGTGTAAGTCCTCACATCTTAAATCGGAGTGTATTCAAACATCATAATGTACCACATGCTGTTGTATGAGTGCTTTGCCGTCATTCAGTGGAGTTTCTCCCACTCTACTCCCCATTTCTCAATCCAGTTGAACATTTCTATTCTACACGGAGATGACAGGTGTATAATCATCATCCTCGTAATCACACAGTATGTCTGTGTGTTGGGAACAATGAATGCTCCCTATGGTTCACCAGATATGAGGTAGATACAATGTTTAGCTTTTTTTTTTTTTTCTTTCTATATTTCTACCATAGTTCCTAAATTACATCAATTTATTCCATTCAGATGAATGGAACCAATACATACAATGTTCATACAATGAAACCACATGTACATTTTCAGTTTGAAAAATATATTTAATGCTAATCATTATAAGTAATTAAATACAGAATCACAACTTCAGTGGACTCTCTCACATCGACGCTATTTCTTAGATCTCTTGAGTGACACATGCATGAAAGGACATTTCACTTTGCTGGCAGTGATTCACTGGCTGATGATATTCATTTTAAATGTCAACACGAGTTAAGTGTTTTTAGTGAGTGACTTTTGTAGGTCAGGTGAAGTCTTGGTGTTCTGAGAGAGGTGACAGTGTTTCATAAAATATGTTCTTGAGATATTGAGGAAACATTTAATGTCGCTGCCTCATCTTGTTGTTTTGTCATTTTATTGCATCCCGCTAAAGATTATATAGTTCTTCAAAGCGTGTTAATGATAATGCATCACCATTTTTTTGGGGACATCCCATTTGAGTAAAGGGAAGTATTTTATTCGTTTGTCACGGCAACCTGAGCAGCTAAACCTCCTCGTGGGAGACAGACTTTGCTGGAGGCTGTAATCTGGTGAGGAGGAGCCGGGATATTGGGGAATGAGTCATTTTATAGACGCCCTCTGAGCTCATTGTGTTCATTTTCTAATGTGTCTTTCATGTTCTCGTCATTCAAGACTCACTTTACAAACTGAAATGTATCTGTTGGCTTTGTGGGAATTAATAAGTAATCTATCCCAAAACCAACACGGAATATCGCAGCCAGACCAAATGCTGCAAGAAAAATCAGGGTAGCTACTGTGGGAACAGCACGTCTTTTCCTTTTATGTTGTTGGCCCAGATTTACACAAGTTTAAACAAATGTCTTTTTGAACTAATTGGCTTTATTCAGGGATTCATATAGAATATAATGAGATACAAGATAACACAAAGCAATGGGAATAATGCATTATGATACCATACAATATTAAGCAAGGGAAACTCATATGAAACAAGCTACAGTTTTATAATATAATATAATATAATGATAACGATTCTGGATATTTTTTCAAAACAAAGCTTTTTTGGGAAATACTGGATAGTTTTCCCCTCTAAAAACATTTCAATTGAATGACACTTTTTGGATGGGCTTTTCCTAGCTCACAGACGTGAGGGTAGCGTCCAGTGTTCAGTAGCACAACATATCAACAATGCATGTAATTAAACCATAAAAGGAAATTCTTTGACAGGAAACAATTAATATGTGTCTCATGCAAAGACCTAGAGCTAGATCAAATGTTTTGACCACCTTTCGTCTTTCATTTAGCCTCTGAATCAGTTAAAGGTTATCAACTGATCCAAGCTTCTGAGGACAACAGCTGAAATAGAACCTATTATGGAGCCAGCTCATTTGTTGGTTTGACAGCGATCAATACCATTTTTAATTCAGTCTTACATACTCACTTGTGTGGGGTTGTGGTGGAGACCACACCGTCATTTCCTTAGGCTCTTGTTACAGTCGCTAAGTTTGTAGCTGAGAAAATTATGAAAATATCAGATGACTCACTGCACTCTGTTTAGATCTGTTAAGGTACACCTTCATATGAAACTACGATGTTTCCAAAACATATGCACTATGTAACATTCACCATTTCTCTGTTTTCCATATGAGCATATCATTGGTAGAATTTTAATCAGCAAATTATCTGCATCACTGAGGAGCAGCGCCTCATAATGCAAATCATCGCCGTGAATTCAGAGGATTGGGTGGCTTGCGGTCTGTGTATTTTGATTAAAGGGTGTCCCCGAGGTCTTGAAGGCATCTCAAAACACACACGCATGAACAATGTCTGTGTAAAGAAAATCGAATTGGAATTAACTTGAAGACATCTGTCTGCTGGGCCACATTCAATACAAGTATGAAATGATCTGCATTGATTGCACCTGTTTGCTGAGCTGAAAGCTGTTGTTTTTTACACATTATAATGTCTCCAATTTCAGGAGTGGTTGCCTCCAGATGTCAGTATAAGAAACTAAGCGCAGGTACCGGTGGGTACAACATATGTTGTACTGAACCATGTCTGCGCTGTACGTGTCGGAGGCTCGACTACAATGGAACTTTGGTTCAGTGTGTTTTATCACACAAGATAAAGATATATATACTAATAGTGACTTTTCTCTTTGTCAGTTTAATGGAAAAATGTGCAAAATTATAAATTGTTTTCATCAGAATCGTCTTGTTGGCAGGGTAGAAATACCTCAATATGAGCAATTCTGTAAATGTACTTTTAGTGGCTGATTGGTTTATTATGTCAGAGTGATGTACAGTAATGTGACTGTCAATATAAGCAAGACAGCGCTGGACCTATTTCTATTAAACAGGCGATATTAACCTCTTAAACAGTACGCATCAATTCAACTCTAATACCAATACAAAACTATAATGCACTTGCAGAAAACAAAGGTGGAGGCGGTGGTGTGGTGGATGTTATTGTATCCTCCAGTCCAGACAAATACTGTGCACTTCAGCTGTGACACATCTTTTAAAAAAAGAGGGCAACAGAAGGGAAGAAACAGGCTTTATCTCCTGCATTTTCAGGCCCAGGAGATAAAAAATCTTCATTCTCTTTGCAAATTGCCTCCACTTTCAGACGGATCATTGACTCATCGGCTGGCATCCTAACCAATCACATATGCAATTTCCTGGTACCCAATGTTTCTCAGAATTGTTGTGTTTATCCAATTGATTGGTGGGTAAAAAAGACCTCCGATCATTGAGTGTATCTCTGCTGCCCGTTTATGCGGTGATGCTACTGCTGTACAGCGTTACCTAATCGCTTCCTTTTAATGGTGGGACTTGGGGGGATTTCAATTTTTAGGAGTCAGCAGGGTTGATTGCTGTTGCAGCAATTGTAAGCGCTGAAGGAAAAAGACAAAGGGTGATTGTGTTGAGAGCATCTCCTTCTGCCTCTAATCATAAAAACTCACTCACTTTGCAAAGTGCAAAAGGACAACTGCGGCACAGAGAGAAATTCTCTTGTGTTTCAGAAAGTGGAGAAAGGCAAAATAACAGTTAGAACACAATGCACCTATGGAATGTGTCACTGTCCTTGTTCAGTCCTTGCAGGATTAGTGAACCTTCCTACTGCTGGCAATGAACAAAGGATTTGCTCGACCTGGTGACATGTGATAGCGTTATAGTTCTGCCCAATTCGGCTCAGACAAAGGTAGATAACACGGTCACAAACACACACCAACACCATTCGCTGACTTATGCTCTTTTGATTTTTGTATATTTTATTATGGATTTCATTGATGTTTTATATTGCAGGTTATTTGTTTCTCTTTGTTACTATTACTGGTCTTATGTTACCTAAGAATGAATAAAATGTATTATTATTATTCACTTCTAAAAATGTGGGAATGCACACAACAGCAGGCACTATGTTTCCAAATAAGGTCCATCTGGCTGTGGTATCATTCTATTTATAGCATCAAAGCCAACTGCATCAGATGTGATGAATAGAAATTCAAAAATTACATCACAAATTCTGACAGAAACATACAGTAGGACTGATAAACAATCCTTTACATTTCTACATCTGCTGGCTATACCATCGTCCATGTCTCCATCCTTTTCTTTTTTGTTATACAATGTTTCACAACCAGACACATTAGCGGATCTCTGGAGGATGCAAATCCCTAGGGCATAAAAGGTTTAAAACCACTGTCCTATGCCTAAGACAAATGGCGCTTCATTTATCGTATTGCATTTGGCAATAATGTGATCCTGATTCTCTCCGTGTGCCACCGGCACTGATTCCGCCACATCAACGTATGATCGGTCCCAGGGAAGTCGATCCCTTCTTAATGCCTGGCCTTTGGCTACCTGAGCTCCCATTACTTTTATCGACAGAGCACTGAGAGAGACATCACTTTTCAGATGTCAGTGTGTAATACAAATTACCTGTCCCATTTCTAATCTAATCGTACATTAAAATGCATGAAATATTTAACGTTTTAGATATGATGTCATTAAAAGGGGATAACACTTGGAGATGTGCAATTATTATTCAGGGAACATCCAGGTTGAGTCCCTTTGGCTGCAGCTGTCACAGATAGAAACATTCTTCTTACTTGGTCTTACTTTGTTGATACTATATGAGAATTGAACCCTGCAGCTCTTGGATCACCCGGTTATTGTGAATCATTGTCAGTCTCTGCTGCCCCATCCTGGTCTTAGTCACTACTCTCAAAAACCCATAACCAAGGTGTGTCTGTGTGTGAATACTTATATGGAAAGTACATATTGAAGTATTGTAGCCTACTACACGTAATTCAGTATTATTGAGTGTTTTTTTTTTTGTTTTCTGTGACTCAATATTTTAACTCGATCTATTTCAAATGGGAAATTAATTTTTTTCCTCCACTACATTTATGTACATTTATTTTGCAGAGCAAATTTTTACATAACTCATAAACTGTGATGTAGTCTACTGTTTAAATTACCCAACAATGGACAAACTGTGTTTGAATGAGTACAGTAAGTGAGAGCCACCTGGATCACGCAAAAAATAATGAAACACTGCTTACTGGTGACACATCAAATAATAATGGATTTAGAGGGCCCATATGTATGTGTGTAATATTTTATTTACCTGTACATAAAGGATCTGAACCACACACACAGGTGGGCGTGTAATGTGCTTGATTGACGAGTTGAGTTGAGTTTTGTTGCATCTGTTTAGGTGGGAGAAGTTACACCTTTATCATTGTTATAAGTTAATATAAGAACAAGTGGAAACTCTTTTGTGCAACATATAAGAGAGATAAAACATGCATTAATGTCACTGTTAGAAATATAGGGGAGGCAGAGAGACAGCAATATTTGCAATGCCACAGAAAGCCCAGCTGAGGGCAGTGTTTCTCCACCAAACGCCTCACTGTGAAGATATATATGTCCCTGCCTCCTAAAAATACTGCCTGCAATATTGGCTGTATATTATTAATCAACCAAAAGAGGCCTCCTGGAATTCACCGCTCTTATTGCAGACACAGACCGTTTACCAAGTCCTCCGTTGTCTAGCATCGTTGTAAGTCCAACTCATGTTCATGTCAGCGGACAAACTGCACAAAAACGGTGTGCTTTAATAAAATCAAACACAAAACAATGGGGAAACGAAAATTCAGCAGCAGCAGCAGCCACGGTGCACGTCCCCTTTAAGACCGTTTTGGAATAATTAATGACGTCGCGCTGTAAACACGACTGACGCTCAGCTGCGTGGCCGAAAGCATCCTCCAAGAAGCTCGAGACCTCTCCAGGTTTCCTCCTGTGTTTATTTCTCGACGGGACCGCGCGAAATCCACAAAAATAACTGCGGTTCACCTCGACTCTCATATGCGGTCTCCAAAACCAAGACGACGTCGCATTTGTCCTGCTAAGTGCCATGGCTAGAAAGACGGACGTCCCCTCCTCATACTATGGTGAGTCGGTTCGTCTTTGTTGTAAACGCCAACATGTTTTTTTTCTTCTGTACTGTGAATAAGGATTTGACAACATGATACAAACGGTACGTTATTTAGCCTGAGTGATGTTTTTAACCCATTGCTGTGATTTACAGGGACGTTAGCTAGCTTACATTGTCAGTTGTTAACTATTTAGGGGCTATTTAATGGTTAACCGTTGACATCCAATACATAGTCAACGTTAACGGTTTTAAACGGCTATTAACGTTCGAATAAGTAGCCTAACTTGTGTGTGTGTGTGTCTTGAATCTGCTTCTTTGGCGATAGTTTAACGTTACCTGGTTAACTCCGGTGATATAACGTTAAGGTTTATGCCTTTGTGTTGTTTACCTTGTGAATACTCAATAAGTCGTATCACTTTCCTCCTCCACTTGTCATCACTTCATCTTTGTTGTAAACGCAGATATATTTTATAACATTATTGGATGACGATTATGACAACATGAAGATATAACGTTATCTCCATAAACGATTGGTCTGCCGATATGTCACCAGATTTATCGTTTTGTCAGGTTATTATTTTAACTGTCAGAATGTAACGTTAGTGGAAAATGCCCATCACTGTTTCCCAAAGACGATGCCATCAGATGTCATTGTTTTTTTGAATAGGACAAAGAAAATCAGCTAAGCTAACGTTTATCCTCACACTGAGAAACTGGAATTTGGGCATTTTAGCTTGAAAGACTTCCAACGATTAATTGATATGACCTCAAATGCGCATTAACGGTATAATGACATTTTAAACGGGTATTTAAAAAAGAGTAGCCTTACGTGTGTTTCAATCCGTCGCGAGTATTATTCGTATCCTCTTGTTACCGGAAATAATTCATTACAATACAGGAAAAAATGTCGATAAATTGTTTTTGGACAATCCATTAATAGATTAGTTAATGTTATAACCTCTTGCTGTAGTTTACAGGAACGTTTGCTAACATAGCA